TCTCCAGACTTTATTATTCAACTGCCTCCTGGACATCTGAATGCCTAACAGACATCTCACACCCAACATGTTCAAAACTGAACTAATCTTCCTTTCAAAAGTTGCTCCTCCCCAGCTTTCCCCATTTGGGTTAATGACCTTTCCATCCTCCAGCTGCTCATGTCGACCTTGCAGTCATTCTCAGCTTCTTCATTTCTCCCACAAGACACATCTGATCTGCTGGGAAATCCTACTGACTTTACCTTCAGAATATATCTAGGATTCTCTATCCTCTCTTAATCTCAACTGTTACGACCCCTAGTCCTAGCCATTTGTCACCTTTGGCCTGTATTACTGGATTCTAAATGGCCCCTGCCTTCTACTCTTGATTCCCTTACAGTCTATTCTCAAATCAGCAGACTAACGAGATTCTTAAACACTGCGATGGCTTTCCGGCACACTCTGCTTCAGCTACACTGGTCGTCTTGCTACTCTTTGCACATGTTAGGCACACTCCTGCTTGGGGAACTCTGCTGTGGCTCTTTCATCTGCTTCTTCTGCTCTTTCCCCAGATCCTTCCACGGCCTACTCTCTCACTTTTTTCAAGTCTTTGCTGAAATGTCACTGTCTCAGTGAAGCTTACCTTGCCCATCATATCTGAAACTGTAAACTACCCAACATACTCCCAGTCCCCCTTAACCTGATCTGTTCCTTTTTCCTAGTACTAATCACCATACACTATTTATTTTTGCTTATTGTTTATCCTCTGTCTTCTCCCTGCAAGAGCATAAGCTCCACGGGTGAGGGATCTTTGTTTACTGATGCATCTCAAAGGTTAGAACAGTGAGGCACACTGTAAGTGCTCAAATAAATATCTGAAGGACAAATAATTTTAATGAGGTCTCTCTCATCCTTGAGTGTGCTTACAATCTGGTTGAAAGGCAGCATATATGTTTTAAAAGATAAATGTCAATATATACAATTCGCATATGCTAATAAACACCAAAAGAAGATGAATATTTTATGGTATTATAAATGATATGTGAAAACTCAGAAGAGTTCTACAGAAGTTTAGAGAGGTGATTCTTAGTTATTGGGGAAGGTGGCCACCTCTTTGAAAATTTGATGAAAGCTACAGACTCTGTTGATATAAACAAACATGTGCATAAAATTTTGAATATCACTGCAGGAGGTTCAAACATTCCATGAAACCAGCCATGGATCCTGAATTAACAATTGTTGGTTTAAACGTCAAAGGCATGCAAAAGGCTTGGTGAAGATGGAGCCTAAACTAATTCTTGAAGAACAGGCTTTGAAGAAGAGAAAAGGTGGGGGAAGATATTTTCAGGCAAGGGAAATAGCTACGGGTGACAGCAGTACAGTTTGGTTGGAATAAAGAATTTATGGGATAGGGAAGGAACAGGCTGAGAACTGCTTGGAGTATGATTTAAATTCTGTGGCTACTGCAAGACACTGAAAGTTCTTGGGCAAGTGAATGAAATGTCTAAGGATTTTAAGAAAATTAATTTGGTAGTTGTTTATAGGAGTAAAGTTGAGAGAAAAAGTGAAATTAGGGAAGTCATTCATGAAACCATTGTAGTGGTTCAAGTTTGGTGAAATGGGAACTGATAAGGTTTAGAGATTAATGAACTTGAGGCTAAGATGATAACTTGGTGGATGAGAATCTGCATAAAGCAGATTCTTATAAGGCAGAGATCAAGTATATGCCTGCTTCTCCACTCCTCTATCATTTCTGATACCAGCTGCCCAAATGGCACTCTCTCTCAGCCCCTAGCCATCTGGAGCAAGGTCTGAGCTCACAAGCTAAAAAGACACCATCCTTGGGTTCGTTAATTTGCTGGAATAACTCACAGAAGATATTATACTTACAACTACCAGTTTTATTATAGTAAAAGGATATAAATCGGAATCATCATAAGGAAGAGATGTACGGGCCAGTAAGGTTTCCAGTGTGGAGCTGCTATGTCTCACCCTGCCTTCGCTGACCAGGGAGTTCTCTAAGCCTTTGAGATCCAGGCTTTTATTGGCTAGTCCTGCATGACAGGCCAAATCATGCCTCCGGAGGCTAGTTGATATTCGCCTCTAGGTGAGTCTTTTCTGGTCTGGCCAGCCCCCACTTGTCAGCACAAATTCTCCAGTATGGCCGGAAAATTTCAACTAAGGCTCCCCAATTACTCCAAGGGCAATTTCACATAAGCCAAGGACAAAGGCCACCTTACTTTGCATAAAACTAGATCCTTGACCCCACTGAGACACAAATTCATTCAGAAATGACTGGTCTGAAAATCAGAACTGATCAGGCCCAGTTAGATCTGAAAGTTATTTATTGAATCACTGGGTGTGGAAAAAAAAATTACAAAAGAGAAAGTACTAAGTATAGAATTATTGAAAGGCTTCAGATAGGACAAAATGGACAGCCTATCATTATTATGATCACAATAAAATATGCTGAATTTATATAGAATAAAACCTTAGTAGAATGTTTGAAGTCTATAGGGATTACGAGTAATTGAATGTTCTGGTTAATTGAAGGCTAATAAAAAATACTTGTTTAACTTTTGCTTGCACAGTTCCCCCCACCCCAAAAAAAGTATTATTATACCCTGAGGGTATAGTATTATACTCCCCCCGCCCCATAACTAGGGAACACAGCTGAATTATTTTTAGGTGATTCAGATGTCACTATTTTTTGATGTGAAATGCCTGATACAAAAGATTGGGATAAATCCACGGTAACCACAGAGTCCATCCTGGTATTTTAAAAGATTTCTGACATCTATTTGACTTTTAGAGAAAAACAGATGACATCAAAACAATTCTTAAAAAATTTTTTTAAAAAAGTATTTTCAAAAACCAAACCAAATCAGTTACTGTGAAGTTGATTCTGACTCACAGTGACCCTATAGGACAGAGTAGAACTGCACCGTAGTGTTTCCAAGGAGCAGCTGGTGGATTCGAACTGTCAACGTTTTGGTTAGCAGCCGAGCTCTTAACCACTGTATTTTAGGGATCTATTAATTAAGCAGGATTTTACTCTAGTGCTTTTTTGCAAACATGCACAAAGGCTGCAGATGTGTCAAGTGCATTATTACATCACTGGCAGTTTCCACTGGCAAATACTTGCTTTGTAATGCATGTTTATGATTTAGACTCCCTTTACTTTAGAACTTACCTCCCCTGACTTCTTTTGTGACCCTCCAGCTATGATTTGAACTTTAAGGAATAGTTCATTCTTGGTGTAACAAAAGCTGGCTTTTTTCCCCACTGGAATTCTATCAGAATGTTCCTGTCAGTTTCGAAGCTTTCATATTGGAGTGCAATATGCCAAGAAACCCAGGAATAAAATGGTGATTGTCTAATCTTTAACACGTGTGAGTGTCCCTACACATCTAAAGCTAGTACATGCATCCAACTAAGTCTATGGATCTCCTAGTTAACAATTTCAGACTCCCCTCCAGCCTTTTGAAAAATCAATGACCTCATTTTTATTAAGAGCTCTTAATAAACCATTGAGCAAGATAAGTGAATCTTGCAGAATAAATTCAGGCTCTTGTTCCCAAAGCCATTCTCTGCCCTCCCCTCCTTTTCCCTGAACAACGCCTGCTGAAGACGAAATAGATGGAAACAGAAGTGCCAACACAACCTACCAAAACCCGTTGCCTTCCAGTCGATTCCGATTCAGGGCGACCCCATGAGTGCAGAGTAGAGCTACTCCATTGGGTTCTCAAGGCTGTGACATTCAGGAAGCAGATCGCCAGGCCTGTCTTCCGAGGCTCCTCTGGGTGGGGCAGAACTGCCAACCTTTCGGTTACCGAGCGCGTTAACAGTTTGCATTACTTCCTCTCCTTAAACGTAGCCAGTGCTCATTATACATTGGAATTCAGGTATTTGACTTGCAAATCCATAACGCTGTATGTAGATACTTCCCTCACTTCCACACAC